TTCATTATTTTGCATCCATAAACATCTCATACCTTTAGATCCTTGATGTGCAAGAACATCACTAACAACAGTTTGTTGTCTTGGATCAATAATTCTAATTTTCTTATCTTTACATGTTGAAACAAGTTCACTTCCAACTCTATTCCATGCAACTGAATTAATGATATCAGTAAATCCTCCAATAGAGAACATTTCTTCACCTTGTTCAATATCCCAAATTTTAATAGTAGTATCAGCCGATGAAGTAGCTAAAACATTAGATGCACATGGATTGAAATTACATGTACCTACTTTTCTCTTATGTCCTTGAAGAGTTTGAGCAGCTTCATGAATATTTCCTGCTGGGCATTCTTCTGGAATATTCCAAATGCAAATATTACAGTCTTCAGATACTGAAGCAATAAGATTATCATTAAATGGATTATAGTCAATATCAAGAACTGTTCCTTTATGTCCACTAACAAGGCAAACATCTACTTGTTTTCCAACTTTAGTATATGGGATAACTGCGAAAGCTCCTCCTCCAGCTACGTCCCAAATCATTGAGAAATGTCTGCAACCACAAGCAATCATATTAGAATCCCATGCGGATTTAGTCATTTTAGTTCCACTGTATTGTTGGTCATTTTTAAATTCAGTACCAAAGACATGTCTATACTTTGAGGCTCTAACGAATTTGCCAGACATCTGAGTTTAATGATTTCAATTCGAGTTCTCGTCTTTTTGAGCTCTGCTTAAACGCTTGGATCTGAATCTAACTTTTCTCTGTTTTATTTTTAGAAATCTAGTTGAAGTTTTTTTTTCAGATGGAACTTAAATATTATATTTTTTTTTGTTTTTTTTATTAAAACTTTGATAAATCAAACAAGAAAAAGTAATAAAAGAAGAATAAAATAAAACTGATGGTGAGGAATTTTTTTAATAAAATAATTACTGAAAAAGAAAGTAAAAATGCTTAAAATAATAAAATAGTAAAAAATAATAATAAAAATAGTATTTAAAATAGTTATTAAAGAAGAGAAGAAGTGATTAAAGTTGAGAACTAATAAATCAAAACAATGTTGTTTATCTTTTTCATCCTTGTTTTGGCTTTTGTTAATGCTCAAGAAGAAGCTGTTATTGAAACACCAGATGAAAACCAAGTTAGTCCATTAATAATAGAAAAAAATATTGAAGATGACCTCTTTTTCACTGAAACAGAGGTAACTATAGTAGTTACTGTAACAAATCCAGGTCCATCAAATGTATCAAATGTAGTTATTTATGATGAAGTTCCTCAATGTATGAAACTTGTTGAAGGTCAAAGTAATAGTGTTACCTTTGACTTTATTCCAGTTGGATCAACTGTTAATCTTACTTATGTTGCTGTACCAATTCTTACTGGTACTCATTATATTGATAGTGCTTATGTCAACTTCACTTTAAATAGAATGAAAAAACAATTAATATCAGATCCATTTGGTAGTATTTTCATTCAACCATATAAAGGATTTATTTCAGTATGTATTGAATGGGGTGTCATTATAATTATTGGTTGCGTTCTTTGCCTTCTTTGGGCCTTTTATAAGTCTAAAAAAGAAGCTTATAGACAAAAAATCCTTCGTTCTAAAGGATTTGGTAATGCTTCACCAACTACTACTACTTCTCCAAAACAATCTACTCCTTCAAAAGTTGCTGAAAAACAAAAATCTGATTAAAATTGAATTATCGTTGATTCATTCAATTCTTTTATTTCTTTTTTTTTTAATTGCATATCATTCTTATATTTTTGGTAAACGTATATCTCTTCCAAAATGTTTTGAAACACAATCAACTTCCACTGTTTGGTTTAAACTCTTACACAAATAAATTCCTAATGTATCTTCTGATTCAGCAAAATTTGAAAATTTTAAATATCTCAAAAATATTTCTATTTGGTTTTTAGAACGTAAATTTCCCCAAGCACCCCATAAGTGTACTTCAAAAGTGTTTATTGTTTTTTTATAATATTCTTTATATGGTTCAATTGCTATTTTTGAAAAGCATGTATTTTGTTGATTTTTTTCCATTAATTTTAATATATGTTCAAATGCATTTATTGAATAACTTTGATCATCTTCAGCAAATAGAACAAAATCATTTGGTTGCATATTTTTAATTATTGTTTGTATTCCAATTTCAAAAAAATAATTTATTGTTAGATGTTTTACATATTTTGATCTACTCCAATCTGGATTTCCAGTTCTACTCCAAGTAGCTGATAAAACTTCATTTGTCCAACTTTCTCCAGTTATTCCTTTCAATTTATTTAAAGGAGGTTCGATATATGAAATTTCTATTTCAGGAAATGATTTTGTAAAATCATCTATAATATTATTGAATATAGGAAACAAACATGAAACAATACATCCTTTAACAAAGAGAATACGTTTAATTACTAATGTTATAGGTTTGTGTTGAAGTGCTTGTTTTAAGCTTTTCATTGAAAGGGAAAAACAAGGTCTTTTTTTTGGACCAACAACAACAATTATTGATAATGAGTATGAAAAAGATTGTAAGAAAAATAAACTAAAGAAGAAGAAGAGCATTGTTGAATGTATTAATAGGGTTTTTAAATTAGTTTAAAAAGGAGGATTTAGCAAATAGTTATCTAACATTAAAAATATTATATTTTTAACAACGATGAACTATTTTCGTTGGTGTTATAAAAATAAATTTGATGAACTTCCATAAAACAGAATAAAAAAGAATTTACTGTTAGAAACAAAAGAAATAATAAAGATGAAGTTTAGGTTAAAAATTTTGGGTAAGATGAAAACAAAATAAAACAAGTTAAAGAGATAAAAATAGAAGAGAATAATTTTAAGATCAGAGGTAAAGACTATTTAAATCTAAGAAATAAGAAAAAAATCATAAGATTATGAGTAGTGAAGACGACAACCAAAATCTCGTTAAATGCGCAGAAGAAATTTGTGAAGTATTTGCTGATAGTGTATCTTCTCTTGTTTTAATGCTTGTTGCTTTACAAGAGAAAAATAAACCACCAAGACCAGAAATGCAAATGTCTATTCAAAGTGTTGCTGAGCAATCTGACAATATTGGACAAATTGCAAAGGACCTTGCAGAAGAAGATTATGAAGAGTATCCTGATATTCAAAAAGAAATTCTTGACGCAGCTGAGGAAGTATTTACTGGATCAAGTGATTTAACTCAAGCAGCCAATAACCTTAAAACATCTAACTTAAAAGAAGGTTATCAACAACTTGTTGATGGATGTAGAATTTGTGGAACCAATTGTATTAAATTGTTACAAATTGTATATGGAGCTACATTTAAGAAACTTGCAGCTGAACAAGAAAAAATGAGAGAACTTGCAGAACAAATGGATACTAAATTAGTTGATGAAGATCCACAACGTTTTGCAGATATTGCAGGAGATTTGTGTTCAGCAGGTTTACAAATTGCTGAAGATATAAGAACACAAGCTGATGGAGAAGCAGTTCCATCAGATAAAGCTGAGATGCAAGAACTTGCTGATAATATTGAGAAGTATTCAAATGAACTTCTTGATGCAGTTAATGCATATCTTGAAGATCCAGATAATGAAAAGTTAAGAGTTGAAATGGAAGAAGCTAAAGAAAGATTAATGAAAGAAATGGAAAAGGCTAAAGAAAGAGTTGCTAAAAGTCAAGAAATTGTTAAAAAACAACAAGAAGCTCTTAACGCACAAACAGCCGCACAAAATGCTAGTATTGATGAAAAAATAAAGAATTCAAAACCAATTGTTTCAAAAGAAGAACAAGTAAAAACAGGACTTTCTGTATTAGAAAATTTAGATAAAGCAGGAGAAGCAGTCTTTTGGAATAATCCAAAAGATTTTGTTTCATCAACAAATGAAAATATGCAAGAAGTTCCAAAATTTGTGGATGGAAGAATTGCTGATGCTAGAAATGAAAAGAACCCAGAAAAAGAGGAAGAAGCAAAAAAAATTAAAGAAGATTTCCAAACATTTGTAGATAATGCTAAAACTGCATTTTCAGAACCAGAAAATGATGCTAAGAAAGAAGCAGCAATTGAATCATATAAAGAAGATAGAGCAAGAATTGTTAAAGAATTACAAGAACTTGGTGTAGAAGATATCCCAGAACAACCACAAGTTGAAGAAGCTACATTTGATATTGAAGATGAAACTATTATTGCCAATAGTGAACAAGCACTTAAGACTATGCCAAAAGATAAATTAGATAAATTAAAGAATACGTATAAACAAATAGAAGCAATGGAATATGCAGTAGATAATGGAGATAATAATGCATTTGTTTCTAATGCTAAACCTGTTATTAATGATGTTCAACAAGCAGCACAAATAATGAACCAAGAAGCAGTTAAAAATAAAGACGTTAAGAAAAAGAAAATTGCAGAGAATCTTAGTGAAGATCTTGCACCATCAATTAATGATTCTAAAGCATCACTTGTTGATAAAGAAAATAAAGCCAAAAAGGAAAAGGCTAAACAAAGTTTAGAAAAATTAAAAGAAGATGTTGTTGATGCTCTTGTTGTTGAAGGAATTACTAAGAAACAAGCTGAAAAAGCACTTTCAGAAAAAGAAAGAAATGAAGAATTAATTAAAGAACTTTTAACTATGAAGCAAGCAGCTGTTGAAATGCAAGATGCAGTCAATAATAAAAATACAGGTGCATTAGCTAAAAATGCTAAAGAAGCATTAACAGCAACAAAAGCCACTGTTCCAAAAATGAAAGAAACAGCACAAAAACAAAAGGAACCATTACTTGATGCATATGCTGATAATATTCAAAGAAAATTAGTTCCAGCCATTAATGATTCCAATACATTTATTAAGGATTCAAAAGATGAGAAAAAAGCAGAACAAGCTAACAAGGCTATTACTGAATATATTGAGGCAATTGATGACGCATTGAGAGAATGTAAAGCAACTCCAGATGAAATGCAAGTTGCAGTTAAAGTAAAAGAAGACAGTGAAGTTACAAAGAAAGCAGAGAAAACAAAAGAATGTACTAAGAAAGCAAGAGATTGTTTATTTAATGGCGATTTAGATGAATTAGAAGATGCAATGGTAGAACTTGATGGAGCACAAGATGAGATGTTAAGAACTATGATTGAAGACGCTAAAAAGAGTGGAAGAAAAGATGATGTCAAAAAAATTAAAGACACTAAAGAAGAATATGAAAAAGCTTCAGAAGAGGTTAAAAAAGCTAAAAAAGATCCAAAAGATAAAGAACAAAGACAAAAAGCATCAGAAAAATTAAGAAAATATCAAGAAACCCTTGATAAAATCATGGAAGATGAAGGTAAACCAATAAAAGAAACAGAAAAAACACAAAACAAAGTTGATGAAGATTTAGAATTATTGAGAGAAGGAATTGAAAATGTTGATAGTGAGAAAGTGAAAGAAGCAAATAACAAATTAACAAAAGATTTTGAAAAATATAAAGCTGAAAAAGAAAAAGAGGGACAAAATGTTGATGATGTTTTAATTCCTGTTAAAGAGGCACAAGCTGCTGCTGTTACTGCTGCTCGTGATCCAAAGAATATTATTAAAAGAAAGAAGGCTGTTGATTCAATTAAAAAATGTAGAAATAAATTATATAACAAACCAGAAGAGGTTAAATCAGATGAAAAACAAAGCAAAGAAGATCTAAAAGAGATTGAAGAAATTGAGGAACTTGCTGATTCAATTGTTCTTAATGACGATGAAGAGGCACGTCTTTTAATTGAAGAAATTGCAAAAGCATCAAGAAGAGTTGCAGAAGCACTTGAAGAAGAAAATGAAGAAAAACTTAAAAATGCATTAGAAGAGCTTGAAAAGAAAAAGAAGATGAAGGATAATGTTATCAATAAAGCAATTGAAAGATGCCCAGAGGAGGATAGAAAGTTATTAAAACAATCTAATGAAAAAATAGATAAATTAAGTGAAGAACAAATTGAATTAGCTAAACAAGCATTAGAAGATGGTAATATGAAAGAAAAAGCATCAAAAGCTAAGAAGAATTCTGGAGAAACATCTAAAGTTGCACAATCTATGAAACCAATGTTAGGTAAAACAAGTGAAATAAAAGCAGAAGAATCATCTAAAGCTATTTTAGATGATTGTAAATTAGCAGAAAAACTTGCAAAAGAACCAAATGAACGATTAGCTAAAGAATTAAAGAAAAAATTAGCTAAAGATGTTGAGAATTACGAAAATTCTATTAAAGATATGATTGAAAATGCAGATATTACACCAGAAGAAAAAGAAGCTCTTTTGAAAAATCTTGAAGAAGTTAAAAAGAAGGCTAAAGAAGTTGATAATAATTTAGATAAACTTATAAAGAATCCAAAAGATAAACAAGCACAAGAAGACTTAATTAAGTCAGCTAAAGAATTGAATGAGTCTGTCAATAAGATGAATGATAACTTTGATGTTGAGCCAAAAGCAAAATGCAAGAAAACAGAAAGAGTACTTGATAAATGCAAAGAAGCAGTTCTTTGTAAAGACAAGGAAGAAGGTAATAAAGCATTGGATGAATTAGATAAACAATACGAAGAGTTAATGAAATCAATTGATGAGGCAATTGCCAAAGAAAAGGATGCAAAGAAAAAGAAAGAATTAGAAGAAGCTAAGAAAAAAGTACAAGAGTCAATTGCAGAAGCTAAAAAAGCTACCAAAAAAGCACTTGATACAAATAATGATGAAGATATCCTTGATTGTGAAATTGCATGTGATTCAGCTAAGGCTGATGTTGAAAAGTTAAAAGAAAAATTAAAAGGAGGAAAAACTAAAGGTAGTAAAAAATCATCTGTTGCTGATAGAATGAAATATCTTGCACATGCCAGAAAAGCAATGAAAGATAAAAACTTTGCTATGGCTCGTGACGACCTTCAGAAATTGAAAAAATTATTGACTGATGCATTAGATGATCCTGAGTTAGATGAAGAAACTAGAAATCAAATTGAAGACCTCATTAGCAAAATCGATTTTGCATTAGAAGACATTGAACATGCAGAAGAGAATGGAACTCTTTCAGAAATTAATGATATGGTAGCACATTTGAATGACTTAACTGGAAATGATATTACAGAACAAGCTAAAGCTAAATCAAAGGCTAGAGGAATTGCTGCAAGAGCTAGAGGAGGAAAGAAAACTAATCTCTCTAACCTTGTTAAAGGATCACGTGATCTTGCTAATAAAATGAAAGGACTCAAATTCAATATTAAAGATGAAGTACATGAAAATATGGATGGACTTAGTGATCAAGCTAAAGCTGCTCTTGAATTAAATGATCTCTTAGATAATATGTCTGATGGAGTTGATCTTGATGGTATGTTAGGAAGTATGACAATTGATGAAGAACCAGTTGAACCACCAAAGAATGAGTTAGAGTCTCAAATTAATTCTGTTGCTGATTTAATTAAACAAACTGCTGTTGAAGAGTCAAAACCAAAAGCTACTGGTAAAACAAAAGAAATTGCAAAAGCCGAGATGCCAGCTGTTTGTGGAGATATTGCTGTCCATTTCAGAGAACTTGCAAAACATGCATCATGTGCTAATAAAGAAGGTATTATTGTTGAAGGTAGAACAATTGCAGCTGCTATTGGACAGTTCTGCAAAGAGCTTCAAAAGGCTCAGCCAATTTGTAAAGATCCAAGAACTGCTGATGATATGGCTCGTTCACTTCAAGCATTAAGAAATCTTTCTACACAACTTAAGATTGTCTGTTCAGTTAAAGCTGCTACAGTTGGAAAAGGTGATACTGAAGGTGATAATCAACTTATTGCTATTTGTCAAAATATTGGAAATAATATGAAAGGTGGTATGGAAACTCTTGCTGTTGCAAATAGAACTAAGCTTCTTAAAAACTAATCTAAATCATCTTTATTTTATTTACTTTTTTTTAATGTTTCAATTGAAAAAGAAGAGATAGATGTTTTTCAATACTAAGGAATATATTAGTTTATATTATATTTATTATTATTGTGTAATATTTTTGAGTCTTGAAAAGAAAACTAAAAAAGAACATAGAAGAGAATGAACATCAATAGCAATAAATTGGATATCATGAATAATAAATAAAATACAGCGAAAAAATCAGTTAAAAGAGAAAGAAAAAAGTAAATATAATGGTAGTAAAGATAACAGCAATAAGAAATGTAGAATGTTATCAAAGAATGAAATGAAAGTGAAATAAGAGAATATGGAGAAAGAAATAAAAAAAATAAGTAAAGAAAAGAAGTAATGGTATATAACAAGATGTGTATTTACTCCAAAATAAAAAGACAATAGAGAAATTTCAAGAAGAACAGA